GCCCCCCTTAATCAGACCCTGCCCCCTGCACCAGGCCTCTGCCCCCCCCCCTTTTTTTTAAATCAGTTTTTTTTATTGTGGAAAAAACAAGAAATTGTTTAGGCGCGCAGGCCTTTGAAAGTGTTACAACACAATAAATACAAAACGTTATTATGGCAAACGTACAAGTGAAATTTACATTCAGCTTCGTTATACTATAAGTGTCATTGTTCGAATGTATCAGCTTTTCTCAGCATAGATTGTCATATTGTTGCGGTGTGTAGCTGAGTATATTTCCACCTGGGCCCTTCGTATGTGAGATTAATGGTGGACGTGTTAACGTCCGTCAGTGTCTTGAAGGTGCGCAATTACAGGTGTTAAACCTTGCTGAGATTTGTCTGTATGTGTGAAGATGTGGAGGGAGGTTTAGGGTTGTGCGGAAGGATAGAAGAGCTCATGCTTAAGTGGGTGTAGTACGTCAGTTTCGAGTGGGTAATTTGGTGCAGATGGGTTCAGAAGGCGACAATGTACTTTATCGGTGATGGGAGTTTGTTGCGTTAGGGATCCCCCCTTGTTGTGTGCTGTTACATATGTGTGTTTCGACCTCGGTGCATTCATGTCACGTATTGTAATAGAGCCCATGAGGGTTATCTCTGGGGCCGTTTTGGTAAGAGGTCTCCCTTCCTCCTCTGGGTATCGTCCCCTGTATTTCGTGTGTTTCGTCTAGGTTTGGGTCTATTTCCCCGACTAGCCCACTTAACTCCGGAGCATGTTATTTCAGGAGTGGCGTACGAGGAAGATGATGCATTGTGTTGCGTGTGTCAGTGGGGGCAGGGCGTGTGAGTCTTCCGGGATTTCTCTCGAGGGGAGTGAAAGTTTGCTTATGTGTGTGTCAGGGAGTTGGTTTTATCATGTCTGGTAGCCAGTTGACCCAAAGTCACTCCTTTAGTATTAGGTCCCTTGGGGTCTTAGTTAGCTGCTAATGTCCTGTGTTATAGTGGTAAAAGGTGTCATGTGGGGTTAGTCAAGTTCTCGTCCGTCAATTATCGTTTGAGCGTAACCTGTCGGGCGTGTTGGGGTGTAGTTTTGTTCCAGTTATTTGTCAACATTTGTTTCTTTCCTGTTTTTCCCTTTGGCTGTTGTCGTCTGTGGTGTTCTCCTACCTAAGTATGTGGTATAGTCAGGGCGTTTCAGTCTAATGCCTATGTGTTCTAGCATAAGAGGGTGTTTGTGGGGTGTGGCGTATAGTATGTTTTTATTGTGGGAGCTGCATCGCCCCCCACTCCCCTATACGCCCGCTCGGAAGGTGAACCACGGCATCCATGTTTCTGCGCATTTTGCTCCTCTACCCGCCAGTTCCGCTAATTCGGTTTGTTGTAGGAGTGGGGTGAAGTTGAGCCGGTATGTCTCCTGCAGGTTTGTGGGTATCCAAATACCCAGGTACTTCATCGCCCCTGCGCACCAGCGGAGCGGGAAGAGTGAGCCGAGGGATTCATATTCTGCTGCGGGTATTCTGATGTTCAATGCCTCGCATTTCGCCAGGTTAAGCTTGAATCCTGATAACCGTCCAAATTTATCTATTTCCGACAGTAAGCAGGGCAGTGTGATCCGTGGGTGGGAGATAAAAAATAAGAGGTCATCCGCATATGCTGCAACTTTGTGCTCTGTTCCCTGCCATGTGTAGCCGCGGATGTCTTGATGGTCCCGAATTGCTTGTAATAGCGGTTCCAGTGACAGGGCGAACAAAAGTGGTGACAAGGGGCATCCCTGTCTGGTGCCATTTGCGATCCCGAAGCTTGTAGTCAGTGCCCCATTAACGCGCACTGCTGCCCTTGGTGTGCTATATAGGGCGGATATCCACGTCATGGTCTTCTGCCCCATGCCCATGGCCTGAAGTGTTTGGGTTAAATATGTCCAGTTGACCCGATCGAACGCTTTCTCCGCATCCGTGGATAAGAGCAGAAGGCGCTTCTGAGATTTCCGGGCGTGATGGTGTATGGAGAACAGGCGTAGTGTACTGTCCCTAGCCTCACGTACTGGGATGAACCCCGTCTGATCTACGTGGACAAGACTCGGCTGTATCCGTTGAAATCGAGTCGCCAGCACTTTCGTGAAAAGTTTAGTATCCACATTTAGCAGGGAAATCGGGCGGTAGCTACTGTATTGTTCCGGGTCTTTCCCAGGTTTGAGTATGACGGTTATAGTTGCTGTTAGAGATTCTGTGCCAAGATGTCCTGCCTCCGCTACTTTGTTAATTGCTTTTGTCAGCCTTGCAAAGTTTTTATAGTAACCTGTGGAGAACCCGTCCGGGCCCGGTGCTTTTCCTGTTTTCGCGGTTTTCAATGCTACGGCTAGATCCTCCATTGTAATTGGTTCGTCAAGGATGGATGCGGCCTCTGGGTTTATTCGTGTCCGCACGTTGTCTTGTAGGTAGGCCTGTATGTGCTCTAATGAGTTTCGTTGTTGGGCTGAGTCCTCTGGTGGGTGAAGATTGTAGAGGGATTTGTAATAGTTTCTAAATTCTCCGGCTATGTCTTCCGGGAACTGGGATATACTGCCCGAAGTTAAGCGAATTTTTTTCGAACTTGTGTGCGTGGCGTGTCACCTTTTAACATGCGGGGGAGGAGTTTCCCTCCTTTGTTCGCATGGGTATAGAAATTTTTTTTTGATCTCTGAAGCGATCGGAGGTATCTCTGCGTGAGGAGGTTCTTCAGTTGTCGCCTGGCTTCCATTAGTTCCCCATAGGTTTCGGCAAGCTGCGTGCGTTTGTGTTGGAGTTCTAGGCGGGAGATGGTGCCATATATTTCTGTCATTGCACGTGTTGCTTCCTTCCTTTTACAGGTTGCAATGCTGATGAGGGTGCCCCGTATGACGCTCTTGTAGGCTTCCCACACCGACACCGGTGATATATCTTCCGTTTCATTTTCTCTAAAGTATGACTCCAGTGCCTGAGTGATTTCCCCTCTCACCCTGATGTCCTGGAGCAGGGCTTCATTCAGGCGGTTTAAATAGCAGGGATTTTAAGTCCACCTGGACCGAGCCGTGGTCGGACCATGTGGCCGGTTCGATGGCGGCGGATCGCATGCGAGAAAGTCCTTCTTGTCGGATCATCAAGTAGTCTATTCGGGAGTAGCGGTTATGTACTGCCGAGTAGTGTGTATAGTCCTTGTTGGTGGGGTGGATCGCCCTCCAGCAGTCGACCAGTATCAACTCCACCAGTGATTTGCGAATAGATCTAATGTGAACCTGCGAGAGGCAGCTGTGGCCGGTGGATGAGTCCATAAGCGGGTCCAAAGGGGCGTTAAAGTCACCCCCCTCCTTCCGAGAATCCGTGTAGTTTATTCAGTGTCCCCCTGAGAAATTGTGCTTGTTTTGAGTTGGGTACGTATATGGTTGCAAACGTGTATACTCTCTCAGCTATCACCCCTTTAATGAAGAGGAAACGTCCGTGCTCGTCGGTCATTTTGTCCAGTTCTTGGAACCCTAAGTCGGCCGCCAGTAGTATTGCAACTCCTGCTCGGCGTGCCTCCGGGTGGTTGTTGCAATAGCTAATGGGGTGGTAGGTGCTTCGGAGTTTGGGAGCTGCTCCTTCCTTAAAGTGGGTCTCCTGCAGCATTGCTATCGATATGCGTTTTCGTCGTAATACCCTCAGTAAGTGGGAGAGGCGTTCCGGGATATTCAGGCCTCTGCAGTTGAGAGTCATGATGGACATGGCCCCTGCCCCCCTTAATCAGATTCTGCACCCCTGCACCATTCCCCTGCTCCCCTTAATTAGACCCTGCCCCCCTTCACCAGTCCCCTGCCCTCCTTAATCAGACCCTACCCCCCTTAATCAGACCCTACCCCCTGCACCAGTCCCCTGCCCCCCTTATTCAGACCCTGACCCCCTGCAACAGTCCCTGCCCCTTTTAATCAGACACTGCCCCCTTAATCAGACCCTGCCCGTCTGCACCAGTCCTCTGCCCCCTTAATCAGACCCTGCCCCTTAATCAGACCCTGCCCCCTGCACCAGTCCCCTGCCCCCCTGCACCAGTCCCCTGCCCCTTATTCAGACCCTGCTCCCCTGCAGTCCCCTGCCCCTCTTATTCAGACCCTGCCCTCACTAGTCCCCTGCCCACCTTAATCAGACCCTGCCCCAGTCCCCTGTCCCTTAATCAGGTTGTGCCCTCACCAGTCCCCTGCCCCTTAATCAGACCCTGCCCCCCTTCACCAGTCTCCTGCCCCTTAATCAGACCCTGCCCTCACCAGTCCCCTGCCCTCCTTCATCAGACCCTGTCACCCTTACCCAGTCCCCTGCCCCCCTTAATCAGACCCTATCACCCTTACCCAGTCCCCTGCCCCCCTTAATCAGAC